TGAAATATAATAAATCTATTTATGAAAGCTAACGCCCCCCACACATATGTTTTATGCACGCTAAGTAGAACATATAAGAGTCTTGTATGATCGCGTTCATTGGTCTGGGGAGTTAAGCCGATGCCATGAAGTGTGGACATGATCAATCGAAAAAAAATCTAAGAAAAAGCAAAATGCGTCTTCTTTTGTATCATTCTTTGTTCAATTGTTTGTCAAAGCAAACGCCCACGTACACTCCATTATTTTTTTGCTTCAAAATGTGTAACGCTTACATGAACATGTGCTATATGATCGTTAATTGGTTTGAAATATGGAACTCTATCGTGAAGTATTAATATGATCAATGAATAAATGTAAGATAAAACAGAATGCGCTTCCGCTTGTATCATTCTTTGTGAAATTGAATTGAAATATAATTCATCCGTTTATCAAAGCAAACGCCCACACACATTCTGTATTTATGTATTTCAATCTGTGCCACGCTTACAGGGACATGTAAAGGTTTGATATAATCGCGTTCATTGGTCTGAAGCCTGTCGTGAGATGGTGGTTTCAAGTGTTGGCAATTTACGAAGCTTCAAAACTCGGCGACTCGCTTTGAAAGACCTTACACGCAGCTGTTCCCAACATAATTGGGGACAAAAATTACACTTCATCAAAAGTTCTCAACGAGTCCTGTCCTTGTCGTCCTTCCGGGCCAATCCACTTGTATATATAGAAGAATGTATAGCTAGAAAACGAAATAATTTAATCAGACATTACAGAAAATGTGTGATTTAGTGTGTGTGTACACTTATTTTACTGTTGTCTTTGTATAGTTCTGTTTTTTTGGCGATTAAAGTTTAAAAAACAACAACAAAAAACAACCACTTCTTAATGAGTCCTGTCCTTGTTGTCCTTCCGGGCCAATCCACTTGTTTTCGTAAAGACGATTCTCCTGGTTATTTCGCCTGGAGGTGAGAATGCTTCACCGCGTTCTGCGTCCTTCATCTTACAATCGTTACTCCATCTTAAGTGTTCTCACCTTCGACAAGGACGCTGTAGGCTCGTGTACGCGTGGCCGACTGAAGACGCTATGATTGGATCTCCATGATTGTTTATCTATCAGTGGTTGACTCCTGACAGTGTGACTGGCTGAATAAAAGTTGTAAACGGGAACTATACGGCTCCAGATGTCTTACTGAGGGATGACTGCGTGTGTGAGATGTCGGTTAGCTTGAGGAATGAATCCCCTCGAATTAACAGTGGTTGACTCCTGAGTTAGAAGGAAAGAAGTGATCGAATTTTGAGCAGCTTTTGGGCTTTATTGCCCAGGAGGAAAACACTTGTCAGTAATTTTGTAGTTCGTGGGATAAAGCTATTCCTGTACAGGGACCTTAAAAGAGCCGATATGAAGTCCTTCTATAGCAACAGGGGACCGGTATTTGGATAGCGTCATGATGTGAGCTAGATAATAAAGTAGTTGTACGAGGATGCTGAAGAGCTCTCAATGGTGGAACACAAAAACTTCCTGAGAAACTGCGTTTCCAGGACTGCGAACCTAAGTGATCTCACCTTCAACAAGGACACTGTATATAGTCCTGTCAATAGGGCAGCAATAGGCTATGATTGGATCTCCATGTCCCATCTATCGGTGGTTGCCTCCTGAGTTTAACTAGGAAAGTAGTGATTAGATTTTGAGCAGCTTGCGGGTTGTATTCAGGAGGGAAACACTTGTCAGTAATTTTGTAGGAGTCGGAGGAAAGAAACTGTTGCTGATCATGATAAAGAAGGACTTTAAAAGAGTCTCTACTCTGTAAAGTCTTAATATAGCAACATCGGCCATGTGTACATGTAATGATGTGAGATAGAAGATTACCCAGTGGTACTAGTGAGAATGCCTCGGTTCGTTCTACGTCCTCCATCGCACAGTCGTAACTCCAATTGCACCCTAAGCGTCAATAACTGTGACAAGGGCTCTGTATGACGTGCACGTGTCAATAGTGCTGCTGAGGAAGCCATCAGTGGCTGACTCCTGAGTTTAAGTAGGAAAGTAGTGCTCGAATTTTGAGCAGCTTGTGCTGTATTCCGGAGGGAATCACTTGACAGGGAGTTGGAGGAAAGAAACTGTTGCTGATCATGATAAAGAAGGACTTTAAAGGAGTCTCTGCTCTGTAAAGTCATAACGTAGCAACATCGGACATGTGTAATGATGTGATAGAAGAATACCTAGTGGTAGTAGTGAGAATGCCTCGGTTCGTTCTACGTCCTCCATCGCACAGTCGTAACTCCAATTGCACCCTAAGCGTCAATATCTTTGACAAGGGCTCTGTATGCCCGTGTGCACGTGTCAATAGTGCTGCTGAGGAAGTAATGATTGGATCTCCGTGTCTCTATCTCTCAGTGGTTGACTCCCGAGTTAGAAGGAAAGAAGCGATCGAATTTTGAGCAGCTTGCGGGTTGTATTCCGGAGGGAAACACTTGTCAGTAATTTTCTAGGAAGAATGAGGAAAGAATCTACTGATGTAGGAGGACTTAAAATGGGACTCTGTAAAGTCATTCTATCTAGTAATAGCAACAGTGGACTGGACTGGTGAAATGATGTGAGCTAAAGAGTACCTAATGGTAGTAGTGAGAATGGTTCAGTTCGTTCGTGACTCGATCCTAAGCGTTATCAGATCACCTTTGAATTCTACAAGGACGCCTGAGGCCCGTTTCAATAGTGCTGCTGAAGAGGCCATGATTGCATCGCCGTGTCTCTAATCTATCAGTGGCTGACTCCTGAGTTTAAGTAGGAAAGTAGTGATCGGATGTTGAGCAGCTTGTGGGTTGTATTCCGGAGGGAAACACTTGTCAGAAATTTTGTAGTCGGAGGAAAGACTGAGATGTTTCTGTAGGAGTACATTACAAGAACCTCTGCTCTGTAAAGTCATTATATATAGCAATATCGGACATGTAATGATGTGACATGCACTGAACACAACTTTTCTCACTCCATCCAGGTGTAAGATGGGTACTTGGTTTCGGTTAGGGAGCTCAGGTTAAAGGCGGTGAAACGAGAGGGATCTGTATCTGTATATAGAGCGGCAGATGGCTATTACTACCGCATATTACTACCGAACGACTGTAGTGACGATGCCCCTACTGTGGTTGACCGTATCCACAGTAGGCTCCACCTACTAATACTGTGTCCTAGACACAGTGCATTAACAACCAATGCCCCTATAGCCTCAATAAAAGCTCTTGGACTACCTTTAACTTTACTTTAACGCACGTTTCCACAAAGCACCCCGAGGCCGGGTTAAACATTCATCGGTCGATCAAGATAGAGGCATACTTGATAATCCCGCAGCAGTGTAAACTGTGCTTAATGGCGCGCCGACCGATTAGAGGGAGATAGAGAGGCCACATGGCATTGTACTCGGTATGTAAGGTGACTTGTACGGTCACACGTTCTGGTGTAAAGTTTATCCTGAACCATGCTCAGAACCACGCTTTATCCAGAACCGTGCTTTATTCAGAACCATGCTTTATCCTGAATCATGTTCAGAACCGTGTTTTATCCAAAGCCATGCTTTATCCTGAATCATGCTCAGAACATTGCTGTACTCTGAAACATGCTCAGTCGAATGGTTGATAGCCCACGTGTATCCAGAGCCGTGCCTTATCCTGAACCATTCACAGAACCCTGCTTTATCCAGAACCATGTTCAGGCGCGGTTCTGGGTAGTCCGCACATATCCAGAACCATGCCTGGGCTAAATCTACGTTCTTGCATACGCGGAGACTATCCAGAACCGTGATCCTATAGCTAACCCTAACCCATTTAGGCTTTATATATAATAGAACTGGACAAGCATGGTCCTGCATACAATAGACTATCCAGAACCGTGCCCGACCCTGACCCTTACACATTCATCCACAGAAGTATAGACAGGCACGGTTCTGGGTACAGAACGTTCTACAGGGAACTATCTGTGCCGCATTTAGTAATACATATACCCCTGGGGTCTTCACATACGTAACGAGATGCTGGCATTTCAGACCATCAGGGGTTTAGAGAATTGGTACATAATATTCCCTGGACAACACAGTGTTCATTAGGTGATACCTGGCGTGATCATTAGCTGATAATTAGCTGATTACTGATTAGCTGATCATTAGTTGATCACCTCTTACTTCTTACAGCATTGGAAGCTAGGGCTAAAGTTCTATTATATGTTTTGTTTAGTCAATGCTTGGCCAAATGACCACTTCTGGACTCTGAGCTAAGTTGGTGGGAGGTATGAGTGACTATGTTATGAGGGGGCAGTGAACGTTAGCATGTTTGTATGCTTGTGAAAAGTTGGAAACTATATTCCCCAGATTTCACGCTGCTACACATGTACATGTCTCTCTTGGCTTGGCTTCGCTCAAGATTTCACGTTTTTAAACACGTACGTGTAGCCTATCACTGTAGGCCCAATTTGATTTGGAGCCTATTACTATGAGCACAATTTGATTTTACAACATATTGCCTTGAACATAACGCCAAGGTTCAAAATGGAGTGTCGCTCGTGGCAGGACTGTATGTATGCGTACTCTGGTGCGGGGCAGTTGTATCAAGAACCGTGCTTTATCCAAAACCGTGCTTTATCCAGAACTGTGCTTGATCCAGAACCGTGCTTGATCCAGAACCGTGCCTGAGGCAAATCTACGCTGTTGAATACGCGTGGAATATCCAGAACCGTGCCCGATCCTAACCCTCACCCATTCAGGCATAGAACATAGATAGGCACAGTTCTGGATACGATAGAGATTATCCAGAACCGTGCCTGATCCTAATGCTCATCCTAATCCTAACCCATTCAGGCATAGAACTATATAGGCACGGTTCTGGATACGATAGAGATCATCCAGAACCGTGCCTGATCCTAGCCTTAACCCATTCAGGCATAGAAGATACATATAGATATAGGTGCAGTTCTGGATACGACAGGAACATACCCTGAACAGTGAACGAGCAGACGTCGACCTACATACCTTGACACCTTCTCAGAATTCACCACGTAAGTTTCACGCCCCAAGAAATGAGTTGAACGTCAGACAAGTCGATTACTAGTACACGTACGCATGAATAGTAGTTGACTCTGGTTTCATTTGGTTGAAATTGGCTAGCTGTGCCGCCGAAACGTTTCATGTATACATACATGTAGTATATGTGCGTAGCTTTTTTTCAACCTTACGAGCACTCATTATGGCAAATATTTGTACAAGGTTCTGGGTCCCAAATGTCAGTCAGCAAATCTCTGTTACATTGTTTATCATTGAGTTGTGTCAATTTGCCGTGCAAACAGTGTTAATGTAGAGAAAACCCTCGAAACGTACCCTGCTCTTTTCCGGGGAACATTGTGTGAATGTGCTCAGCACTTCTGAATGTTGGTCACCGCCGGTCGAAATATGATTGATACAGGAAGAGCGGACGACAGCTGTCAGGTAGGGAAATTTACTCTCCAAGCAGAGGTTGTGGGGGGATGATCGTTACCTTTTCATATATGGCCGTTTTTTTTTTCCTGACCCCCACCCGTCGGTGGCTGCGGACCTTCTCTGGTTAATGGATACTGCCTGGCCAATTTTTACTGTCTTTTTACCACCGAAAGGGATCTGCTTGGAGTTTAATGAAGTTAACGTAGGGTCGCGTGGTGTAATGGTTGGGCGTTTGGCCTAGAACCCATAGGTCCTGGGTTCGAATCCACACCAACATGGCCCGTTGTTGTGCCCTTAAGAAAGACGATTTACATTTATACACGACTTTTCTCTCACTGCACATAGGTGAAAATGAGTACCTAGCTTTGATTAGGGACGTCCCTCGGATAGGACGTTAAATGGAGGCCCCACGCACGTTAAAGAACCCGCTTCATACCTCGAAAAAAAACACACTACTATCTGGTGATTCACTACAGACTCCAGGCAGAATAGTGAAAAATTTACCTTACTGGAGATCGTAATAAAATGAACAAACAAACAAACAAAAAAAACAAATAAACAATTAAACAAACAAAATTCACAAGCCAAGAGGTACTACAGAATAAGATTTCCAACAAGACTTTCAACATACGTCGACGAAGATTAGACTCCAAGGTAATGAGATACACAAGGAAACAAGTTACCAAGTTGCAAGCAACTGGATAAGTCTCTTAAGACATCAAATAATGCTATCCGCCTTTCTTACTGCCCATACGTTGAAGTAACATCGGTGAAGGTTAGACATCTAGGTAATAAGATACGCCAAAAACAGTTCCTCACTCAACTGGATATGATTTCGGAAACGGTCAGACGTTTCAGGTAGCATCCACTAACTTTCGTCAGTGACACAAAAAACGTCTGACCGTTTCCAAAGTCATATCCAGTTGCTTTATTTTTATTCCAACATATAATCACCAGACGTGGTGACGGCACACTCAAGTTTTTTTCAACTTATATTAATGCCGCCATCAACACAGGGGACAAATACATGACAGAACAATACTCATTTTCACCTGAGCAAAGTGAGGAAAGTCGTGTAACGTGCCTTTCCCAAGGGCGCACAAGATCGGTGGCATGTCAGGACTCGAACCCGGGACCTCTTGGTTCCGAGTCGCGTACTCTGCCGCTACGCCACACGACCCCACGTCCAGTCGCTTGAGTAACTGTTTTTCGATGGAGCTCGCGAGTAGCAGCTACAAGCTACACCAGAAATGAGTTAATTCCAAGCCGTACGCTGTGTGTCGTTTTTACCGCTGTGTATGCCCTAGGATTAACAACCGCCATTAGCTAAACACATGGTATGAACTAGTTAGAATTCCTCACACGACGAACTGCACAAGTATTGCTGGAACAACGGAGTAATAAACGAAGCTGGAGGTCGGGAATTTGGAGGGAATAATAGCCAGGACATAATTAAATGTGCAAAGATTGTGTGTAACAAGTCGTTCGGTGTGATATAGAAAGAAAGAAAGTTTATTGCAAAGTCATGCCCGAGGGCTAATTGCAGCTGTACCTGCGAAGCTGGTGTGTTACGCTGACGGGCGGTTATACCGGCTATACAGACACAGATACAGAGCACTTATGGCCACAGATTGGACCATGATTAATACGTGAAGAGCGGACGACAGCTATCAGGTAGGGAAATTAACCAAGGATCGTGTGGTGTGGTGTAATGGTTGGGTGTTTTGGGCCCAGAACCCATACATGTAGGTCTGGGGTTCGAATCCACCAGCATTGCCCGTTGTTGTGCCCTTGAGAAAGACAATTTACGTACTGTATGCACGACTTTTCTCTCTTTTAGGACGTTAAATGGAGGCCCCACGCACGTCAAAGAGCCCACTACACCCTACTCTAAAAAAGAGTAGGGGCTTGCTCCGGTGTGCGGTGGTCCAAACACTACTATCTGGTGATTCACTACAGACTCCAGAAAAAATAGTTAAGTCGGTTAAGGTTATAAGATACGCCAAGACAACAGTTACTCAAGCAACTGGATATGATTTTGGAAACGGTCAGACGTTTTTGTACTTATAAATCTGCTTTTCTGAGAACTCTCCAACGTCACTGACGAGAGGTATTGGATGCCGTCTAAAAGTCTGGCCATTTCCAACATCATATCCAGTTGCTTGAGTAACTGCTCTTTGGCGTATTCAAGACGGATACTGTGTCGTTTTTACCGCTGTGTATGCCCTGGGATTAACAACCGCCATTAGCTAAACACATGGTATGAAGTAGTTAGAATTCCGCACACGACGAACTGCACAAGTATTGCTGGAACAACGGAGTAATAAACGAAGCTGGAGGTCGACAATGTGGAGGGAATAACAGCCGGGACATACATGTAATCAGCTAGAACAGAGTAGCAGGAGCAGCCTTGGACAAAATTAAACAATCCGGGCGTTTTCCGTTTAAGGTGGTTAAGACTAATGTCCGCTAACTCTGGTTCTGAATACCGCCGCATGCTGGTAATCATAAGGTAACATAGGAGCCATGGACCGAATAGAGAGACACTCGTTTCTCCACAATGAATCATTGATAGCATCTACCAGGCTTCAGAAGCGGCAGGGTGCTCGACTCGGAACCTAGAGGTCCCGGGTTCGAGCCCTGACATGCCACCGATCTTGTGCCCTTGGGAAAGGCACTTTACATGACTTTCCTTACTTCGCTCAGATGAGTATTGTATTGTCCCATGTGTTGGTGGCGACATTAATATAAGTAATAATAATAAAAAAAAACGTGAGTGTGCCGTCACCACGTCTTGTGACTAGATGTTAGAATACAAAAGTGGCTGGAAAGAGCAGAAATTGGCCAAATAGACAGATAACACGCCAGGGGAGTTGGACCGCTAATGCTAAGGTCACAATTCCCACACGGGGCTCGACCGGGCAGCTTTTGGGAACGAAAAGTACGATATAAAAGACAATAAAACACATAAAAGCTTTAATAATAATCATGAGGACTATTTCTGTAATAACTGTATATTCGTGATATGAATTGTTAATTTTTCGGCCCGGCCCCGGTTTGGAAATGTGACCTAAGCATTTAGAGTACAGTTTTCAGGAGCGCTACAAGAGTATTTTTTGTATTGCTGCCCTACAATTTCATCGGATGGCTTAAACATTTGCTTCATGTCTTCCGTAACCCTCTGACTACTGTAGAAGAACAGCGGCGGATTAAGTCTTAGCCCTCCGCACCTTTGGTAGCGATACCGGCCATTCTTGAACGACAAGGCTGTCTCCCCTATGTCTGACAATGCTTTATAACACGTTACGCACTGAAAAGCGATCTCGATCGCACACTGAAGAGCTATTCTCCCACTGGTTGCATGGTGGGGTTCGGGGGGTTCAGAGGACCCCCCCGCCCACAAGGCTCAAAGGTCCACTTTTTTTTAAAGGTCCAAGATTTTTCGTTAAAAGCTGACCTGATTTGTGTCATCAATGGGACTGGAATCCTATTTTTCCGGCCTCACAAAAACCCAGGAAATGCCATTTCAGGAGGTTCAATTTAAAAAAAAATTTCCGGGGGAGGATGGCCCCAGACCCCCCTAGGAACTTCGGACCTATGGCGCTCGCCTCGCTCCTATGGCGCTCGCTGGTCCCTTAAGCAGTGGGAAGAACCTCCCAAGCAAAATTCTGGCTACGGGGATGGGTCGTGACAGAGAAGACAGACGCTATGTACAGTATCTACAGGTTCATTGTACCGGGGAAATTCCCCTAGTTCTTTTGGACGAGTACAGCGCTCTTGACTCTCAGAACCACAGGAGAATTTAGCCTCCATAGCACGCCAAAAACTGGGGGTTTGGGGGGTCTTCAAGGTCTTTGGGAGCTTTTGTGTGCTATTTTCTGATTGCCTATAGACAACATAGCCGGTCTGATTGAATTACCCCCGTTTTAGAACTGGGCTGATCAGAAAACAGCCGAAAAGACCACCAAACCCCCAGCTCTATAAGCCTGCTACGGAGGCTAAGGAGAATTAATATTCCTTAATACGCAAGTATCTGTTTGGCCTGTACACATACTAGTAAACGCAATAGCCTTTCCTAGATGTAGTCAGATACAACACACTTATATCGTTGTAATGATTGTACCTAGAATTACTTTATGAACGTGACCAGTATTTGGCTTGTAACGTAAGGGCATATATAAACGTGCAATAAAAGTCTTTCACTTATTCATCACAGCACCATACCGCACCCTAAAACATGTTAATCACTTTTTGAACAGCGCTAACGGTGAAAAACGTGCACCTACCTCACTCCTAGAGAAATGCGGCTGCTCTGAATATTATGACAAGCGCAGCAGGACTTTAAAACGCAGGCAGCGTCCGCCCATGTAACGCGTCTTTCATTCACCTGTCACGTGGCCCACAGGCATGCACCAATGGGAGCCCGTGTCTTTACAAATTCGTTATTGCCCCAAATTTTGCTTCGTCGCCTACGAAGGCAAAGCGATGATATCATATTGGAGGAATCTTAAGTGAGATTTTTTTTTCTGTGTGAAATATGGCGTTACGTCATAGGACGTTATGGGGCGGCGCTGCAGTACCATGACTAGCCGCCAGGGGGTCCAAAATCCAACCATTTCGAG